CCTGGCGCGCCGGCCGTCGGGGGTGCCCGCCGCGTCCCTCCCGGCGGAAGCCCGAACCCGCACCCACGAAGCGCGGCGCCGCACTCACCTGCGCGGCCATCACGCGCTGTCTCTCGGCGATCAGGTTGCACTTCTTGCACTGGCAGTCCCGCCACATGCAGAAGCGCTTGTGGCCCTTGAGCGGCGACGCGTAGCCGTGGTTCCTGCAGCGAGCGCACTTGGGCAGCCGCGGGGATTTCTTGCCCGAGGCGCCCAAGCCGGACGCCGCCCCGCTGCCCCCGGCATCGCCGGAGGCGCCCGCCGCCCCCAGCAGCGCCCCGGCCGCTTTGCCGTAGCCCCCGGCCGCCTTGCCTTGCGGCGGTGCCCCCGGGGTGTCCGACGGCGCGGAGGACTTGCCGAACGCGTCTTCGTTGGGCATGTTGGCCAGAGAAGCAGCGAGGACTCGGGCGGGCTCTCGGCTTGGAGAGGGCAGAGTAGAGGCACCCAGCCGACGGCGAGGGTCGGAAGGAGGAGAAGGCGCGGCAGCCGTGCGCGCCCGAGCCGGAGGTGCAGCCGGAGTGGCGAGCTCCGGACCAGCCGCGCCAGAAGTAGCGGTGGGGGGTTGTGCCCTTTTTCTTTTGGCGCGCGTGGCTCAGAACTTTTGGATACTTTTCAGAACGTTCCCGGGATTTCACAGGCGGGAGAAGGAGCACGAGAGCGTGGCCACGCCCCTTGTCCCCCCAGCCCCAGCCGCTGCACTAGCTGTACCTGCAAGTTTGCACCAGCTGCAAGCACCCAGGGCGCTGCAGCAGGGTCCATGCAAACGCACGGAGGTTCACAGCTTGACTCCCGAGATAATGAGGCCTGGCTGCTAGAGCTGAGGAGGGGAGCCTCCCGCCCGAGCTCAAAAAATCCTGCGTGCTGCTTGGAGGAGGTACAGACCTCCACGTGGGGTCTTCTAGCTCCCTTCCCCCCACCTCCGCCACCCCCTGGGAGGCGAAGAGCATTCTCCAAGTTCGTTAGGGCGGACTGCAGACAAATAAAACCAGTACAGGGCTCGAGCACCTCTACAATTTCAGTTTGGGGCTTTCGGTTCCCCAGTTGTCCCAGTCCTACACTGTATTCTTTGGCTCATAGGATTCTTACCTACTACCTCTAAATAACTTTCCAATCCGTACAATTCCAGCCCCAGATGCTTCTCAGTTTGTGTGCATATGGTTTTCTGCCTTAGGGGCAACTTCATTTAGATTCAGCAGGCAAGTGAAACTCCACGTGAAAAAAAAAAATGAATTTTGCAGGAAGCTGAGACAGGAAGAACCCAAGCTTGTGCCCATCCTGAGCAATTTAGCAAGACTCAAAAGTTTTAAAAGGTCTGGGGATGTACTTTAACCACACTTCAGAGGGGAGAGGACAGTGAATTATAAAAGGAAGGGTAACACAGATGGAGACATATATCAAAATTCGTACTATACCTAAGATCTCTTCATTACACTGTATGTAAATATGCCCGCAAAAATATAAAAATCTCCCACCGTCATGTTTCCGCTTTTCCCAGGGTTCCTACCTGCATTCCCCACCCCCGCCACGTCTGGCTACTCTGTCTGCACGTGTACGGCAAAATCCATCCCTTCTTCCCACACATGCAGGTGTCCTGCTAAAGCCAGCTCTTCAGCTCAGCTTTGCATCTCTGCAGCAGCTTCCAGCTGGTCTTTCTGTTCCTAGACTTCAAGGATATTCCAAACACACAGCCCCAGGGCCCAGCAGTGACTTGGTATTGTTTTCCATGTGGGAAAAAAAAAAAAAAAAAAAACATTGGAGACCTCAGGCAAGTCTTAAAAAGCACTTTGCCTGATCTCGCTGCATTTCGTAGTACTGCAAAGCTCCCAGCCTGGATGCGTTGTTTGTGGACACTTTACCTGTCTGTTTATTATCCCTCTTCAAAGCTTTCCTGGCACATGTCCTACCAGGGCTGCCCTTAACACCCCTGCCCACCCTCCTCCCTTTTTATAATTGCTTTCCACGTTCTGAGCCACAACCTTAGAATGTTAGTTCCCCAAAGAAGCATGGCCACCCCACTTGACTTCTCATCCGAAGGGCTGTCCAGCGGCCATCTGTTGGCAATTGGAATAGTTAGCGCTGATCTCTGAAATCCTCTAATCTGCCTTCCTTTTTAATTCTGAGGCCCCTTTGCAGACACTTTCTCTCAGTGGATTTTCTCCATTAGTGTTCAAAGCCTGAAATTATTTCCTCAAGAAGCTTCTAGCTTTGCACAAAACCTCACACACTACCTCTGAAGGCAATGAATCTCTACTCCCAACAGGGATCGGGATGCAGCCATCCATGCATTTTGGTTTTGCTTGTTTGTTTTGTAGAATCGAACTCAGGACCTTGCACTTGCCAGGCAGCATCCATGCATTTTGGAACCTCTTAAATGAGAACCACTGTTTTACTCAAGGATATTCCAGTCCCTTGAAGTCTTCAATTAAAACACGCTGGCCAGCCAGGCGTGGTGGCGCACGCCTGTAATCCCAGCACTCAGGAGGCTGACTGAGGAGATTGTTGTGAGTTCGAGACCAGCTTGGGCTACAAAGTGAGTTCAAAGCCAGTCTGAACTGCATATCGAGACCCTGTCTCAAAAAGACCAAAAAAGTAAAACAAAATAAAATAAAAAATAAAACACGCTGGCCAGCCAGGTGTCACAGCACATCTGCGATCCCAGCTACTCAGCAGGCTGAGACAGGAGAATCCAAAGTTTGAAGCCAGCCTGGGAAACTTAATGAGAACCTGTCTCAAAATAAAATTTTAAATAAGAGGGGCTGGTGATGTAGCTCAGTGGCACAGAATTTGCTTATGTTCCAGGGCCCTGGGTTGGATCTCCAGCACAGCACACACACACACACACACACACACACACACACACACACTGATTGCTATTATCTACTATGCTCTTCTTTTTTAAAAATTATACTTTAATACATAAACTGAAAGGGAATCATTCCCAAGCTCCAGTCCAGCTGTACAGAATGAGGTACAGGAAGAAGCAGTTGTCAAATCCCAAATTATTGGGAAATATCTCTTCCTTATAAGAATTTGTGATGGAAGGATTTAAGCCGGCAGCAAACTTGGGAATCTGAACCTGTCTGACCAACATATTGAGACATAAATGTTGTGATGAAATTAGTAAACAAGTGAAGTTTTTCTTCCCAATCCACACAGGGCGAGTAGGCAGGAGGTGATCCAAATGGCAGCCAGGACAGCCCCAAGAATGACGAGTTTGAATATGCTGGCACTGCTGTCCCCTTTCTTCTTTTTCCTCTTTCCAGAAATCGAAGCCCCAACATGATGAATCAAATCTGAATTATTGACTTAGAAATATCTGCAAGGCATAGGAAAGGTAGGGGGCAGACAGTTCTAAAATATGGCTTGGATAAAATTTAGTAGATGTGAGACCAAAAGTGCAAATGATAAATTGGACTTCATTAAAATTCATAACTTTTGTGCTTCAACAGACACCATTAAGAAAATGAAAAGTTAACCTATAGACTGAGAAAATATGTAAAAATCATGTTTGATAAAACCTTGTATCCAGAATATATAAAAATGGGCTGATTTCGGCTCAGTGGTGCACACCCATAATTCCACTTTGAGGCTGAGGCAAGAGGATCAAGAGTTTGAAGCAGCCTGAGCAACTGCACAAAAATTCAATACTTTATTGGCAAGGCAGTATATAGCATATTAAAACCGGGTGTGGTGGTGAACGCCTGTAATCCCAGCACTCAGGAGGCTGAGGCAGGAGGATCATTGCAAGTTCAAGACCAGTCTGGGCTGCAAAGTAAGCTCAAGGCCAGCCTGAACTGCACAGTGAGATGCTGTCTCAAAATGACAAAAAAAAAATTTTTTTTTAAATATATATAGTAGATTAAAGAATGATTAATCTTGACTCCCGGTGATGTGACTTAGTTATTTAATTGCACTGTGACTCAGTTTCCTCATCTGTAAAAGGGGAGAGAGGCAATAATAATAATGCCTATTTCAAAGGGTTCTTAGTTAATACTTGGGAAACATTTTTAAAAGTGTCTGCACGTAATAATATGTCTATTGTTATTATTTCCATATCGGAAAGTAAAGAGCAGGGAGAAAGCAGGATACAGAGAAAGCTGTATTAGTAGGCACCAGTGATGAATTCCATCTACAATGCATTTTGTCAGTGTAAAGCTGTTTTTGCTCCAGGGACAACTCTCAGGGTTGATTCTGATCATATATGTGTATAAGTCAAAATATTCAGCTTCCCCATGCTGAGTGTCCGCCGTGCTGTATCTTTGGCACGTTGCTCTGAGTGAGTAAATGCCTATGACCAGTAGGAGCAGTAGGAATCAAGAGAGGTAGCACTGAGCGCTCCACGTGGAGGACCTCATAGGAGTTGGAGGACAGCTATCTTGTAATCACAGGGCATTTCAATAGGCATAAAGCAGAAAACAAGAGCTTCTGAGTCGTGGGAAGCAGAGACGGAAGGCTGGGTGTTGGAAGTGAGCCTGTGGGTTGGGGGAGAGGGTGCAGACATACCAGCCTGGAACAGAGGAGTCAAGCTGGAGCCCAGCAGGAGATAAAGCTGGAAAGATAGCATGGCACCTTGCCTGCCAGTGGGGAATTTGGCTTCCATCCTGTAGGCAAATGGAGAGTGATGGAGACTTTTGTCCTTGAGGTGTTTGAGGAATGCTAGCGTCAGTTCTGCCAATTACTATGTGATCCGAACAAGCCACTTAGTGGCTTTTGTTTGGTTTGGTGTTTTGTTTTGTTGTGTTGTGGTTAATTTTTGTTTGTTTGGTACTGGAGATTGAATGCAAGGCCTCAAACATGCTAAGTACACACCCTAACACTGACTACACCTCCCGCCCCTGACAGCATGTTGTGACAACTATACCACAGGACGTAGAGATATGTCTAAAACACCCAGCAAGATTGGAGAATCAGCCAGGCACGGTGGCACACATCTGTAATCCCAGCATTCGGGAGGCTGATGCAGGAGGAGCATTGCGAGTTCAAGCCCAGCCTGGGCTGCAAAGTGAGCTCAAGGCCAGACTGAACTGCACAGCAAGACCCTGTTTCAAAAAAAAAAAAAAAAAAAAAAAAGAATTTTGAAGACAATAATTATAGGTGCTTTTTCAGTATTAACTACTGTTTTGAAATAATTAATATGATTCCTGTTAACCTACAGGGGATAAAATGATTTGCCATTGTCAGTGTTTCATAGAACCAATTACTTAAAGCTCTGAGAAGAAATCTCATTTTTAAAAATCCATAATTTTTTTTTTTTTTTTGTCTTTTATCTTTTCTTCTGGTACCAGGAATTGAACTCATGACCTTACGCTTGCCAGGCAGGCGCTTTGCCGCTGAGCTAAATCCCCAGCCCCTAAAAATCCATAATTAAAAAAAAATTTTAAATCCTTAATTCCAGCCAGGCGTGGTGGCGCATGTCCATACTCCCAGCACTTAGGAGGCTGAGGCAGGAGAATCACTGCGAGTTCAAGGGCAGCCTGGGCTACAAAGTGAGTTCAAGGCCAGCCCGAACTGCATAGTGAAACCCTGTCTTAAAGAAACAAAAAAAAAAATCCTTAATTCAACTAAAAAAGTTGAATTTGATATGGAAAGTACCAATGCAGTTACTGTTCAA